TTGATACGATGCAGAACAGAGTCGCGTGCCATGTGTGTATACGACAGCTGGACACCAAGGTACTTGTGAGTAGTTTTGATGGGCAAAAGAACGGCACCGCTACGTGTGGGTATCCGCACGCACAGACCATGCTCCTGGTGCTGCTCTGTGTGTTTGGCCCATACCTTTGTGTGCTGGTAACCAACAAACTTAGCAAGGATGACAGTCTTGTCCAGGTTGGCCTTTAAGTCGTGCTGTTCCAAGAAGTCAAGGGTAAAACCTATCAACCTAAGGACTTGTTCAACCTGATCGGCCTGTGCCACCTCACATTGAAGAAGGGTGTCATCAGCGAAAAATGTGAGCAAATGCTCAATTTCTCTTTCTGACAGCGGGGGCATCAGCCGAGACATCAACCAGCCCGTAAAGCAACACCACAGTGTGGGGGCCAAACGGCACCCCTGTCTCACTCCTTTGCCTGTCGCAGTGCGAGAGCAGAAGCCGGCTGCGGAGTATTGTATGGTCATGGCATGATGTAACCCCAAAATGACATCTGCTACATTGGCTGGGATGCCCGCCCACTCTAAAGATGACTTGATATGGCTGCGACTGATAGAATCAAACGCGCGGCTGAGGTCGATGCTGAGCGTAACGCTTCCAAGCATAGCCTCCTGAGGGATGCCAGCACGCCGGTGATGTTGTGTATACTGCCGACCGGTGCGAGCTTGCGTTTTCCAGACATGCCACATCGCCCTGTCGATGGCATCCATTGCCGAACGCCCTCTCAGGTAGGCAAACTGGGGGTACGGCAACATGCGCTGAGTGATGTCCTCCCTGACCCTACCCATCAAAAGCCCAGCAAAGGTTTTCCCCAGAGGATGGAGAAGCGAAATTGGGCGCATCTTTTTGACCGAGTCCAATTGTTGCGCCGTCTTCGGTAAAAGGCACATGTAGGAAGTACTCCAGTCTTGGGGCCATTGTGCACTGAAGGAACCCGCCCTGAGGCAGCCACCTAGACAGGAAACAGTAAACTTGCTGACGGCCTCCCCGCACCACTTCCAAAGCGGAGCCGGGGCGCAGTGCGCAGGTACGGCCTTATGCGCCGGAAGATCACGGAGATAAGAAGCAAACTCATCCGAAGTAAAGTGAAAATCTTCTCGGATGACAAAGTCAGAACAGGCCTCTTGCGCGGCAAAGACCTCTGCAAAGTATTCCCCCACCAGTGCTGCCTCTTCCGCGGGACCGGCGAGTCTATGCTGGGAGTCCCTTAATTGCAGTCTGCGCCTTCTCATTTTCGGAGCAATCCTCCGTAACACCTGATACAGCGCGCTGGGGTGGCCACAACGGCTTGCATGTTCAGCGTCCTGGACCTGCTGTTGAAGACGTTCTCGTTTCGCCACCACCGCCTGCTTCTGAAGAGTTTTACGAATGGCGCGGTACTTCACCGCATGCCTCCATCGCGCAAAGACTGTGTGCGCGGTGGCCGCCATCCTGCGGTGATGCCAAAGAGAGGCCAAGCAGGGACCCTGTTTGGAAGAAAGTTGGCGCTCAGGCCGACCGAAGACGATCCTCCAGGATCCCAGCAGAATGTCACTGACCTGATCGACCGACGTAGCCCCCTGCAAGCGATGCTGAACCAAGTCATGAAACGCTTTGCCCCTTTGAGGGTCCTTCTGCAGCATGAGAGAGGCGGTATCCGGCCTGATGCGCGGCTGCTGTGCAGACGCTCGAGGCGGACGAGTCCTGGGCACCGAGGCAATAACCGGGAGGCGGTACATTCCCTCAGCCGGCAGCAAGGGAAAGTTTCGGACTGGACGCGCACATCGACTGACATCATCAGATTGTAGCCTTCGAGCAAGCACATAATCGATTTGAGTGGAAGCTCGGGTGGTGCTATTGTAAAAGGTGCTACAACATGGACCCGGACGTTTGAACGTGTTCAGAGCCTGAAGGTCACAGTGTTGCAGCAAGTAAGAGAACACATCGCCATCCGGCGCACACGACTTGGTGTCTGGTAGGGAATCCTGCTTTGCCCATTTGACCGAAGATCGGACGCCTTTGCCAGTGAATGGATGCCTGATTGCAAGGGAGGTGTTAAAATCACCGGCTATGAGGAGCTGTGAGCGTGAGGCCGTTGATTCCGCAAATTGTTGAACACGGCGCCACAGCGCAAGACGTCTGGCAAGAAGCGCCTCCCGCGCTTGGGTGCCAAGATCAGGCCGCCAGGCATGTTGGTAAACCGCAAGCAGTTCAACACTCGGCTCCAGCGGCACCTTCACATGTAGGAGTCGTCCAGCAACCAGCTCCTGATATCGGAGGCGGTCTGGGGTGCACAGATCAACGGAAACCATCACAAGAAGACCCCCATCCTTCGCCTTTCCACTACCTGAGTGCACGTATGCATATAGATCATCAGACCATTCAAGATTGTGCTGCCACATGGTTTCTTGTAGGATTACTACTTGAGGACGCTCGGCTTGCGGAGAATCGCGCAGCCACGTCTTGATCTCCTCGAATCGTAAGGTCGTTAGACCGCTGCAGTTCCAACAAAAGATCGAAATGCGTGTATGCGAGCCTGGACGTGTGCCACCAGTCGATGTGGTCGCTCGGCCCTTAGGGCCGGCGTCGGCCGTGATCCATCGCCCTCTGTACAAGGCTCTTCCCTCCGGATCTCGCTGAGCCCGAGCGCAGGCTCGACGAAAGGATCGCTTGCGCACCTTGTGCCAAGTGCTAGGTGCATTAACTGAAGGCAGCCCATCTTTTGCTGTGTCCGCCGAAGCAGACACCGGTGCTTGCTGGGCGACAGAGGCGCCAACCTTCACCCCGGAGATCAAGGGAAACTGTGCTACGAGAAGGAAAAGAAGCAACCATTTCCGCATGAAGTGAAAACGATACCTTGAATCTCCCCCGGACTTAGGACCGGGCAATGTGCATGTACTACGTGGGTAGTCTTGTGTTACCGGATGGCATCCAGTCCACGGACGTGTAACCTCACGTAATCTAGCTTTGTGGTTCTCGAGACTACTATGCTCGCGAGTCGCCTCCTGTACAGCTGCAATGGTCTGGGTGAGCACGCCAAGGAGGCCAAAGTAAAGAAGACCGACGATGCAGGGATGATGATCGCCCCTGTCATTGACTACTTCGGCACAGCTAAGAACAAGCAGTGAGAACTGAGGCCAAAGACCGAAGGCAGCGACCATCAACCTGCAGAGCCCCATCCCCTTAAGCCGTGTAATGCGACACCTCTGCACACCTCGACTCCATAAGACGAGCCGAGTTGGAACCAACTGAGAAATGTGCGGGATACCGATGCCTAAGGTGGGATCGCATTGGGGCAGACCTGACAGGTACAGTGACAGCATGCAAATGCCGCAGATGCGACGACTGCGGCCGGCACGCCAGGCACCACAACAACGTTTGTGCCCGTAGCGTCTGCAAGTGCCAGAATGCATCCAGTCCAACAGGGCTAGGCCCACAAAGGCAAGGAGGGTGGCAGCATGTGGATAAGTTCCCGACTCAGGCGCGGACGCCACCGCAGTAGCCGATTGTTCCCCTCCGAACCAACCCCACCACTCCTAAAGCAAATCCAGAGCGCAGAGATTACAGCCTGGTGGCCCAGCTCCAGTAGATGACACAAGTGGTAATGCACACTCGAAAGCTGGCATCGCATGCTCCCGCTCACCCTGCACCTGACCGCAACAGTGTGGAAGTGCACATGTAGAACATGGAGGCAGGAGCCAACAGAACCCAGCAACCCCAGCAGCATGTATGCAGCATCGCGCTGATCGGCATCCTGGTCTGAGTCGGCAGTCGCAGCAGCTACGACTGGAGAGGTAGGGTGGCCGTTTGCTTTGCAAGGCTTGTCTGTACACGGCAAGGGCTGCAAGGTAACAAAAGTGAGATGCGGATACGAGACTGATCCACAATACTCAATCAAACGGCGGTGCAGCCTTCCCCTAATGGCATCCACTTTCATGTTGGCGGTGTCGTTCCCCAATGTCGAGCTCACATCCTCAGAGGCCTGAGACCTGTGTGCAGTAAAGCCCCCAGCACTGAAGTGTTCCGGATCGCGACGAGCACGTCTCGGGGGAGGGGGTGGAGGTGGGGGAGGCGTTCGATGCAGCGCGGGCGGAGAGGTCGTCGGAGCGGGTTTGCGGGCAGCGCTCTTGGGCTGGGTTGTGATTTTCAGCTGTGCTCGCTCGCGTTTGCCCGGTCGATTGGACGATCGCAGCTTAGTAGCCAGGCTACGAACACGGCCCTGGCCCATGGCATGAAGCCTCGTGGAGAGGAGCAACTTCGGGAAACAGCAAAGGATTATAGCGGGCAGAAGTGCAGAGCTGCAAGCACATGCCAGCATGAAGACTGTGGCCTAGGACAGCTATCCCATACACTGCATCTGCAAGAATGAGGGCCTGACCAAGACAGCCCAACCAAGAGTCCAGGTTGTAGTGCAGCAATGTCAACGACAGGCAGGGCACTCACTGCAAAGAAAGGTCGGGCTAGAGCTTGGTTCCGAGCTTCCCAATCCAATCGGTCACCTACCCAAGTGCAACCTACATGTGACACACATGACGCGACTGTGATTGAAAAAGGTGTATGGCCGGTGCACTGCCTGCACAGAGCCCAGTTTGAAGCTGGAGGATCCTGAGACCACATGTGCTTTGCTGATGGTGTTGGCACAGGGCCGGCCGAATTGGCCTTCCCGACTGGAGAAAGGACAGTTCCGCCGGCGGCCAAATTGGCCTTCCGGAGTGAGGAAAGTACAATTCCGCCGGCGCATGACCCAAAGATAGGACACCCGGGGCCGTGGAGCATCACTGGCACAAACCTTGCAAACCTAACAAGCCCCACCCTGATCAAGCCAACAAGCTGCCGAGCAGGACCAGGCCTGCAGCGCTCCGATCGAGAGTGGTCGGCGTGGCCTGTAAAGGTGCAAGGGGCAGCGCTGGCGGAGAGTACGAGAACTGCGGGGTTGTGCCTATAAGCGTGGCTCACCACAAGCTCAGGTCGGGCACAATGTGTCCTGCAAGCAATTGAAGCCGTAGACACATAGGTAACGACATCGTCCACTGTAGGTTGACGGCCTATGCACAGCCAGCGCAATGTCCAGTTGGTTGCCACAGGACCTGGTGACCAAGGGCAGAGAAACCCGGCTCCATGTGAGGCCATCCCCTCAGGTGCAAGCCAGCCGTGGAGCACCACCGGCACCGACCCAGCAAACCTAACCAGCCCTACCCAAATGAATCCAACACACTGATGAGCAGTTCCAGGCTCGCAGCGCGCCAATCGAGAGCAGATGGCGTGATCTGCAAGAGTGCAAGAGGCAGCGCTAGTAGAGAGAACGAAGGCTCCGGGGTAGTGCCTATGAGCGTGGCTCACCACAATCTCGGGCTGAGCACGAAGTGTCCTGCACTCAGTGGAAGCTTTAGATACATAGGTGACCTCTTCGTCC